GGTTCTAGGGATAGGACCCGACCGGGTCGGAACCGGACCGGGGCCATGTCATACCTCGTTGCGTAGGTCTTTTTCTCAGCTTTCAGCCAATGTGACCCCCGACCTGCCCCACCCATCCGCATTCGGTCAGCGGGCCCCAGAGCTCAGCCGGGTCCCTCCATCACTGCGTCTCTCCCTCAGGCCCTCTCATAGGCGCGAGCCCACATTACAGAGGGCCCAAATATCGATTGGCCGACCTGTTCCCGGACGGGCAGCGGGTGGCCCCCCTCCAAAATTTCTTCAGAAATTTTCTAGTTTCATTTATTGTCCTCCAAAGTTACAACTTTTGCCTAAAAAATAAACACAAACCCCTCAATTAAGCCAATAGAAACCAAATGGGTCTTTTAAAGTTGTACATTTTGTGGAAAAAATAAACACAAAAACTTAAATTAAGCCAAAATAAGCCAAACGGGTCCTTTAAACTTACTTGTTTTGTCTAAAAATTGAACATGCACTTTAATGTGTATTATCTATACCCACAGACTTCCTGTTTCTATTTTTTTATTTTTTTTATTTTTAAAAGGTGCTCAGTAGATGTTTTTTTATGATCTCTGTTAAAAATTATTTTCCCACCATCTTTTTTTTTTTTTTAAACAAAAGTTTATTGCACATTTTGTCAATTTACAGACTGTGAACAACATAGAACAAAGAGGCAGAAACAAGAAAACAATAGAAATAATAGTAACAGGAATAATTATGATAATGAAGAAAGGAAAAAAAGCACTTTAAACCACAAAACAATATCCAAATATTTATATTAAATCAAGCTAAAACGAGATAAATAAATAATAGTCTTCAGTTTAACTCCTTACATCTACTTTTTTCATGGAAATTAAAGAAAATCTTCCAGATTTTCCAAAACTTGTCAAGCTTATTTTTCCCTGTGTAGCTTCTCCTTTCCGAAACCAAATAAAAAATTAAAAAACGTGCATCTAAGCAAAAGTTAAATAAGTAAAATCAGTATGAATGAATCTAACTGAAGAGAGGTTGACGTTTCAACTGAGTTGGGAAAAACTGCATTGGGGTTGGAATAACTTCCAGAAAGAGCTCAAACTAAAAACTCTAGTGTCCATTAATGAATTTAAAGCAACTATGAAGAGTGTAGTGATGGAGATATGTGCTTTTCTTTCTTGAGATGCTCAATGTGTTTTAACATACTGCTCTGATTTTATTATGTAAAATGTAATATGTATGATTTTTTTGTGGTTTGGCTGCTACCTTGGCCAGGTCTCTCTTGAAAAAGAGATTCCGAATCTCAATGAGACTTCCTGGTTAAATAAAGGTTAAAATAAATAAATAAATAAATAAATGAATGAATAAATAAATAAATAAA